TGCTTACGTTCGACTGAACCATTCTGCTGATGTGTATGTGGACATGCTAAACGATGAGCTATCCCAAGCGACTGAAAGAAAGAGTTGAGGTTGCGATACTCGCCCCCCCCAGTCTGACTGGACATGAACAATTTTGTGCTTGAGAAGACGTTCAACATGTTTTTGAAACTGAACAAAAATATCAAACACATCAGATTTGCATTTAATAAGGTAAAGCCAGGTAAAGCGACTATAAGCATCAACGAAACTGATATAGTAATTATGACCACTGACAGAAGTCTGAGCAGGACCCCATACATCTGAAAACACAAGTTCTAAAGGATGTTTCACCTCACGACTGGACTCCGAAAAAGGAAGTTGATGACTCTTCCCTTGCTGACAAGCATCACACACTGCTACATCTTTATGACTAGACAAACTAGGAAGCTCATGACGACGCAAAATATGACGGACAATAGGTGTGGCCGGGTGACCAAGACGAGCATGCCACTGTGACGGAGAGACCCGAACTCCACTGAAAACACGAGCGACACCAGGATGCTCCAGACGGTAGAGGCCCTGGCACAACCGCCCACTAAGAAGAATGTCCCTCGTGCCCCGATCCTTAATAAAAAGATCAAAAGGGTGAAATTCACAAAGCACATTATTATCACGTGTGAGTTTAGGAACTGAAAGAAGATTACGGGTCACAGATGGAACTCGAAGAACATTGCGAAGCTGAAGACTCCTATTGGCATGTCTAGTGAGAAGAGATGCTTGACCAATATGAGAGATGTGCATACCTGCTCCATTGGCGGTGTGGATCTTGTCGGAGCCATGATAGGGTTCACGAGTGTGAAGCTTCCCCATCTCACTGGTTAGATGCTCTGTCGCCCCAGAGTCCATGTACCAGTGTGGATCGATGGAGTAGGACTGAGTGTGTCCCTGTTGCTTCTGCGGCGCGGGACGATCAGCCATGGCGACCTGACGGGCATTGTTGCGTGTATCTTTGCCGTCATTGCCAAGACCAAGGAAGCTTCGCTGGAAGCGCTTATGACACTTGGAGGCCCAGTGCCCATCGCGGCCACAAAGCTGACACACACGTGGACCGCCAGCCCCCGGTAAGGTCGCAGTAGGTAGGGGGGCCGAGGCGGGCAACGGTGGCAGCCCCAAGGGAGACCGGGGTGATGAAGAAGAGCGGCCACCCTTGGTGGCGGCGTTGGCCGAGAGGGAGCCAGTGCCCCTGGTGCGGCGAGTCTCGACCCGTTGCTCAGTGAGAAGGAGCCGAGAGAAAACCTCGTGTGCCAGCATGGGTGTCGAGTTGCCCCGCTCGTTGATGATCTCGACTAAGGCATCATACTCCTCATCAAGACCATTGATAATAAACGAGTTGAACTCGGAGTCGGTGAGGGGCTGTCCAATGGAGGCCAATGTGTCGGCGAGGCCCTTGACCTTGTTGTAGAACTCAGTGGCAGTGGAGTCAAGCTTCTGACACTCTCCAAGCTGACGACGGAGTGCAGAGACACGAGCCTGGGACTGCGCTGCAAAGGTGCGCTCAAGGATGGTCCAGGCCTCATGAGACGTCTTCGCGAAGACAACAAGGCCGGCAACTGCCGGCGAGAGCGACCCCTGGATGGAGGAGAGGTTCGCCTGGTCCTGCCCCGTCCAGACGCGATGGGCCGGATTGTAGACCGGACCGTGCACGCTGTCTACCAGCGCGGGTGGGCAGGGAAGCGATCCGTCGACGTAGCCTAGCAGGTAGTGACTCCCCAAGAGCGGGAGAACCTGCGCACGCCAGAAGATGTAGTTGTCGGCGGAGAGCTTGATGGTGATGAGATGACCGAAGTGAAACGGCGGCGGCGAAGACAATCCCATCGAGGAGGCTGCCTGGGGTGCAAACACCATGGAGACAGCCGGAGGCACCGAAGCCGATGCGGGAGGAGGCGGGACCGCAGCCAGGGCGGGCGCCGCAAAGCTCGCGGCCGGTGCGGACGCCGCAAGGCCCGCGGCCGGGGCGGACGCCGCCAACCCCGCCAGCGGGGCAGTGTGATCCGCTTGCGGCAGGAGCGGCGGGACGACGCCTGCGGAGTCCGCAGCGGACGGCGGCGCCGCGGTGTGGACCACGAGGTCACGCCCAAGCGAGGGCGCCGGCGGCGTGGAGAAGACGGAGCCGATGCTCCTTGTCCCGATCGGAGCCGGAACAGAGACGGCATCGAGCGGGAGGTTGAGCAGAGCCGCAAGAGAGGCCGGGAGGAAGCCCGCAGCAGTGGAACCGGTGGTGGCGGCGCTCGACATGGCGGCGGCGCGATCGGTGGCGCGGCGGCGGCGGTGAAGGCGGCGGCGGCTGCGGCGGCGGTGCGGGTATTAGGGTTTAGAAGCGGAAGCGATCGTAACTTAGCGTGATACCATGTAAGACAATAAGTTTTGGGGAACCAGCACAACCCTCTAGGGGTGGCTTATCTCATTATATATAATGGTTGTGTTACAATATGTATCATATACGTACATAGGTACTGAAGCTATACATAGTCTAACATGCACCTTGGTGAGGTAGTCGGGGCAGGGCCGCTCTCCGGCGTCCTCCGATTCCATCCTTCGGAGGCTTTCGTCGATCTCCGCGTCATAGTCGGCACACAGCTCGTAGCGCCTCTGCGGAGACATCTCCAGCTCCAGGGCGGCGCCGTCCAAGTTAGGGCCGGCGTGCTGCTCAGGGACGACGTGTGCCAGGGGAAATGTAAGGCCGGTGGCGGTGCGTGAGATGTGCGCAGCGGCGATTTCTCGGAACATGGCATAAAAGTTTGTGCTGTCACGTTGGTCGGGGAGCAAACGCTTGACCTTCATGGTCGCCGCCGTACGTACGTCGAGGGGCAATGCTCGGGGCGAGCAGGGCAGATCCGGGCGGTGGATGGATGATCAAGAATCCAAGAACCAAGAGAGGGAGAGAGAGGGAGAGAGACAAGGAGGAAGTTCTGGCGATGGCCTCCCGAAGGGTGGAAAATACAATCATACGTAGAGTATTACTAGCTTAGCCCGCGCGGCGACACGCCACGCCTGTCATATGTCGCGACTATGTAGACCATGATTCAAACAATAGAACTATGATAGTTATAAGTTGATAAAATATGTACAGTAGCTTTATGTGTATCGTTTGCCATCAATTAAAGAGAAGCACCAATATATATAAAAGTTGAAGATATCGAAGAAGTACATTTATTATAGTCATGCACGATAGTCACCGACAAACAATTGATATTGGCACACCTCTAATTAAAGCTACTCCCTCCGTAAAAAAATATAAAAGCGTTTAGATCATTAAAATAGTGATCTAAACACTCTTATATTTGTTTACATATTTGTTTACAGAGGGAGTACTTATTAAAACCATGTGCCGTGCACTCTACATAGGGCTGTGTATGGTCATACAACTGTACTACAATAAGATGTCGCAAATATTTTTTACTGAATTAGATCATCCTGGTATAGCCTCCCGCAATATTAGTGAATGTAATAGAGTGATATAAAGCTTTTGCAAATTCTTGGACACTCAGGTGGTTTTGCTCCTGTGTACGCGATAATAGGATCTTCGCTGTGTGGACGCTGGGGGTACATCTGAAGTGGCAGCACATCGGAAAAGCTGTTGCATATTTTTGCTAAAATCATTGTTTGCATTGTGAATTCTTTTAAAAATAATTAGTTGACAACCCTGTTCTCATAAAAATCACTGAAAGTCAGAGTATGCACAATATCCCTCAAACAGGATTTTCTTGCTATGAAGATCAATTAATCACAGGAAAAAATGACACAGTGCAAACCTATATATAGATGTACCTCATTTAGTATCATAAACCGGGAAGGCTCTGCCAATTATAATGTACTTACATACATGGCTCCAAATTTCAGACGTGACATGAAGAAACTGCATGCACCCAAGACTGAAAACTACAGAAAAAACTTTGAAGAAGCCATGAAGAGACATTTTTCAAGTATGGAGTTTCCTCAAAGAAGAAACGAATGAAAGAATCATACCAAGAGAGAAGCTCCAATGCACATCATTTTGGTTTCTACAGAATGCATTATATATTATATCACAGATTCAAAAAATAACTATAGAAGATGTAAAACATTGTAGCAGATTACTCCCCTTCCAACCATCCCTCTAGTACGCTTGCTCCTTTGCAGACATTAACACAAATACACGTGAGCATGAACAAAAAGTAGCGCATCTGCCGGGATTAGATTGATCAAGCTAATGCTGAAAAAATCAATCAAGCTAGCTCCATTAACAAAAAGTAGAACTTGTCCTCCATTCAGTATATTTTGGTGTATAAATAAAATGCACAGAGAGCATTGGGGTTGGGCTGAGCATACAGACCTTGCCACCACTGAAGGCGATGGAGCTGAGCTGCTTCGTGATGCTTGCCGTCCATTTGCTGCTAGAGCCCGAGAGTGAGAAGGGAGGATAGCACATCCAACAACTAGAGTAGGAAAAACTGATCACCAACAGATAATAAAATTCAGACACTAAAAAAGGTGTATGTATTTTCTGAGCAATGGTATTAGAGCTAGGCAAATACTGAAGGACAACTATTCGAATTGGAAGTAAGAAATGGTACTGCACAACGGAAGTCGAACATGCAACTGTCTGCTCTTAGATTTCAACTCATTCTAAACTGCACTTATTCAGCAAAGCATGCAAATAATAGCCTGTATATATAGAGCAACACCACCTCTGTTCTATAACTTCAGTAATAAGGTTCTTCTGTATTCAGAGATGTACATGTGCACTTGTACAATCAATGGAAAAATACATGTGGTAGTAGGTAGAACTACTGCTCTAATAATCTCTCATAGCTATGTGCTCGTGCTATGAAATATATGCTCAGAAACTACTAATTGTCTCCCAAAGTAAGGATATATAACAGCTGGAACGTGCTATGTATAATGGCATGAACCCACTTGCATGCAGTAGATGTACTTCCTCTGAAATTAGATGCAGAGCACACTAAATTTCTCTCAAACTTCTAATTATCTCTATAAATAAGGATATGCAGCTCCCTGATGTCGATCATGAGCTTGTAGAAGAGCCTCCCATCTCTGTCCTGCAAACACATTAATGGAAAAATTAACTGATATGCATGCTAAATTTGCCTCAGAAGAAGATGCATGCATGGCTCGAGAGGGACCTGACCTGAAGACCCATGAGTATATAGCGTGCGATGCATTCTGCAGCAGCTGCTTCTTCTCACACTCTTGAGGAGGATGACCTGAAGCAGCAGGCCTGACAGAACCACGTATGGATTTTCTTTTGCTTTATCCATTGATCTGTTCGAAGATTCCATGGAGGATCCTGGAAAGGAAGTCATAGTAAGTTTAGCAGATGGTTCTACATGAACAATTGTGCCTAACAACCTTGATGCATTAAATATGCTTGTTGTGTAGAGCTCAATTGCCTCATCCATGAAGTTTATACCAAACAAGGGTTAAGGCACAATCCATTTTTACACTGCATCCTATTTCCTATGGAGGGCTTCTTGGCAGTAAAGTTATCTTTCAACATATTTCCAAACTGCAATCATCAGTAGCAGGCTGAGCCTCATTGCATAAGCAGACATATCACAAAAGGTGCATGTAAAGAAAAATAATTGTTCTTGGGATGGAACACGCATATAACCTTTGACACGGTTTATGGATAGAACTGATTTTCTTTTACCTACAGTTGTCCAAACATTACGTCGTACACTTGGTGGGCGTTGGAACAGTCGACTTGCAGGGTTGTGGGCAGCCGCGTCCAGAACGATGCGCGATGCATGGCGAGTCCCTCCACGTTGAGCTCCAGGGGCAGCAGAGAAAGCCACCGAAAGAGGTGGGAGAGGCATGGTGTCACGGGACTGGCCACCGTACCGTCGAGTCCCATGGCGAGCCGCCGCGCCGTGCAACCAAAGGTTCACCGTCATCTCTGTCGCGAGAGCAGCATGGAGCACATCAGGAGAGGGGTGAAAGAGGTTAGGAGGAACATGGGAGGTTGGGGGATCCGCGGTCATGGCAGCTCCTCACCTTTGCACAGTCCAGCCAAGACGGCATGAGGATCCTCGGGCCGTCGGGGCAGGAGACGCGTGGGGAGCATAGCGACGGCGCGTAGACTACCATGCGTGGGTTTCAAGCGGTGCGTCCCAGCCCACGCGGAGAGGAGACGGGGGGAAGGGGCGGGGCTGGATGAAGCGAACGGGAGCTCGGATGTGGGGCGAGAAGAAAGGTGAGGCAGAGACGGTGAGGAAGGAGAGGCTATTTATATAGTCTTGTTCGGTGGTGCAGCGGTGGCCTTGACATCGACGAGGTCTCTCCCGAAGCGCCTAGGGCCAGCAATTTCAGCGGCGACCGACGAATGAAACCTCTGTCCAGGTTTATTAGGCCCCTTGTATTTTGTGCCAGATTTTGACCATCTATATTATTAAAAATATATAAATTATATGATACAAAAATTACACCATTGGATTTGTGTTTGAAAGGGCTTTTCAGCAATATAATTTTTGTGACATATAGTTTACATTTTATTAGTTAAATTGCAAGTCAAATTTTAGCACAAAATACAATAAGGCCTAATAAACCCGGACGGAGGGAGTAGTCAACAACCAAAGTTTGACCATCTATCCCCAGTAAAATCGCCAAACGCACCCAGAAGCGCACCCCGCCAACTCCCCCACAAATTAACGTGTCACTACCCTATTGGCCCGATTTTTACTGATAGGAAAAAGTCAAAAAAACCACATAAACTAAACCTGGCTAGGTTTAGTATATGTATAATTTATGATATGAGGCAGGGGGTTGCGCCAACTGAGGAACGGACTGCACTGCCGTAGTAGCGTGCGTTTGATGCGAAATGACCGTACGTACGCCGTTGATCGTAAACAAGAACGGCTTGCTGATGATTACTACGTATACGTCAGCAAATCACTGTTGATTCCGTTTGCAACCCAAAGTAGGTTACATTCTGAAACCATTGTGGATTCCGCTTGCAACCCTAACTAGGTACATTCTCGCCGAAAGAAAAAAAAGTACGTATACGTTCCACGTTCGGTGTGCGCTACAGGAGCGAACGATCGAGGAATGTTTTTCGTTTGTTGATTGTTCCCTTTTCCAGCGAACAATTTCGTTCGATGGGTCGTTTCCAACTGAAGACCGACTATTAGGATCCCTTTTTCAACACATTACGCCCCTTCCTATGAACACACACATACACCCTATCTATATGGGCATCTTTACCGAAAAAGAGTCCCCTCGCTTTATATTATAAAGCCACCATCACCGAATACATCCGAGAGACCGAACAACGCACACAACACACACCCAAGACAAGATATAAAGATGCCGGGCACCGACACACCACCCCACCGAGAACAATAGCGAGGTGAATCAGACAATAACGAAGCTAACCCTCCAAAGCGGTGCCTTCAAGAAGGGTACGACCAAGGATAGCCGCCACCGCCCGATCCACGAAGATCATATTTTCACCTAGAGGAAGACGACATGAGTGGGAGCATCGTGACGGAGCCTTGAGGGGTACGGCCTCAACAGCCGCCGCCACCGTCGGCCGGTCAAAGGACTGGGCAAGTGGTGTACCCCGGCGCTCACACACCATCATCGCACCCCTAACTCCCTCAACCACCCACAACCATGCCACCCGCGAGGCCATGGTTGCCCGCACGCTCTGCCTACAAACGCCGCGCCTCTCGCTGTCAGAGCCACTGCCCTACACTAGACAACCCCGAGACCTACACAAAGGCCCCGGCTTTGGACCAACCGACGACCCTCGACCGACAGATCCACTCGCACTCCACTGGTAGATCTGCGCCAACCCACCCGCGGCTGAGGAATGGGGGAGAAAGGGGAGCGGACGAATCCGGACCGGCACACCCCATGGGCGATTGGTGACGCGGCCGTATCGAGGCCACACATCCCTCCAACCAACCTCCCCACCAAACACGAGGAAAGGGGGAGGAGGAGGAGCTGACGCATCCGGACCGACAAAAGTGCCGGCGACAGGTGGCGCGACCGCATCGAGGCCACTCATGTATCGCCCGGATAATTAAGCTACAGTAATTCCCTGCTAATGATGTTATGTCATCATTTTTACTGTTGCTAAATCCCACGTTGATTCAAACCGATTCAAATTCAAATTTAAAAATAAAGTCAAACAATAAAAGTTTTCAAATGTCAAAATTAAAGTGTTCAGGTTTTCCCAATTAATCCCTAGATATTTGACGAGGTGAAACAACTCCATTTGGGTCACTAAATTAAGCCCCAGGAATAAATAACCATGTTCAACAATATTTAAAATGGTCATTTAAATGCACACAAATGTTTACACGTTTCCAAATAATATGAAACTTGGTGTGTAGACTTGAAATGTTGCATTGGATATTGTGCAGGTTTGAGTCATAACAAAATTCGTTTGCTAAATAAAAAATGGCAAAACTCTAAAAAAAAGAAAGGCAAGAAACGGAATACTCGGCACTTTGGCCCATCTAGCCAAATAGTAGGCCCAGGCCACCACCCCTCTCCTTCAACCTCGCTACAGGAGACAGGGGAGGCGTGGCAGCCATCCATGGCTTCCTTGGATGTGCGTCGGCCATCCCCGAAGCCCTCCTGACACATAAGGACCCCCTCGACCCCGTGGCTTAACCTTAGCCTCTTCCTTCTTCTTCTCCGCGCCGCTATCCCTCTTCCCGCACGTCACCCGAGCACAACCGTCGTCGTGCCGCCTCCATAGCCGCGGCTGACAGAAATATGCCCTAGAGGCAATAATAAAGTTGTTATTTATATTTCCTTATATCATGATAAATATTTATTATTCATACTAGAATTATATTAACCGGAAACTTCGTACGTGTGTGAATATATCGACAAACATAGTGTCACTAGTTTGCCTCTACTTGACTAGCCCATTGAATCAATGATGGTTATGTTTCCTAACCATAGACATGAGTTTTCAATTGATTAATGGGATCACATCATTAGAGAATGATGTGATTGACTTGACCCATCTGTTAGCTTAGCACGATAATCGTTTAGTTTGTTGCTTTTGCTTTCTCAATAACTATACATGTTCCTATGACTATGAGATCATGCAACTCTCGAATACCGGAGGAGCACTTTGTGTGCTACCAAATGTCACAACGTAACTGGGTGATTATAAAGGTGCTCTACAGGTGTCTCCGATGGTGTTTGTTGAGTTGGCATGGATTGGTATTAGGATTTGTCACTCCGATTGTCGGAGAGGTATCTCTGGGCCCTCTCGGTAATGCACATCACTATAAGCCTTGCAAGGAATGTGACTAATGAGTTAGTTATGGGATGTTGCATTACGGAACGAGTAAAGAGACTTGCCGGTAACGAGATTGAACTACGTATTGAGATACCGACAATCGAATCTCGGGCAAGTAACATACCGATGACAAAGGGAACAACGTATACCGTTATGCGGTTTAACCGATAAAGATCTTCATAGAATATGTAGGAACCAATATGAGCATCCAGGTTCCGCTATTGGTTATTGACCGGAGAAAAGTCTCGGTCATGTCTACATAGTTCTCGAACCCGTAGGGTCCACACGCTTAACGTTCGGTGACGATCGGTATTACGAGTTTATGTGTTTTGATGTACCGAAGGTAGTTCGGAGTCCCGGATTTGATCACGGACATGACGAGGAGTCTCGAAATGGTCGAGACATAAAGATCGATATATTGGAAGCCTATGTTTGGACATCGGAATGGTTCCGTTTCCGGAGTACCTGGAGGTTACCGGAACCCCCCGGGAGTATATGGGCCCTATTGGGCCTTAGTGGAATAGAGGAGAGGGAAGGGAAAAGAGGGAGGCGCCCCCCAAGCCCAATCCGAATTGGGAGGGGGCCGGCCCCCCTTTCCTTCCTCCCTCTCCCCTCCTTCCTTCCTCTCCTACTCCTACTTGGAAGGGCTCCTACTTCTACTAGGAAAGGGGGGAATCCTACTCCCGCAGGGAGTAGGACTTCCCCAGGGCGCGCCATAGAGAGGGTCGTCCATCCCCTCCTCCACTCCTTTATATACGGGGGAGGGGGGCACCCCATGGACACACAAGTTGATCAGTTGATCTTTTAGCTGTGTGCGGTGCCCCCCTCCACCATAATCCACCTTGGTTATATCGTAGCGGTTCTTAGGCAAAGCCCTGTTCCGGTAGCAACATCATCACCATCATCACGCCGTCGTGCTGACGAAATTCTCCCACGAAGCTCTACTGGATCGTGAGTTCGCGGGACGTCATCGAGCTGAACGTGTGAAGATCGTGGAGGTGCCGTACGTTCGGTACTAGGATCGGTCGATCGTGAAGACGTACGACTACATCAACCGTATTGTCATAATGCTTCCGTTTATGGTCTACGAGGGTACGTAGACGATACTCTCCCCTCTCGTTGCTATGCATCACCATGATCTTACGTGTGCGTAGGAATATTTTTGAAATTACCGCGTTACCCAACAGTGGCATCCGAGCCAGGTTTATGCGTAGATGTTATATATATGCACGAGTAGAACACAAAGGAGTTGTGGGCCTGGGTATATACATATTGCTTGCCGTCACTAGTTGATTCTTGATTTAGCGACATTGTTGGATGAAGCGGCCCAGACCAACATTACGCGTACGCTTACGCGAGACTGGTTCTACCGATGTGCTTCGCATACAGGTGGCTTGTGGGTGTCTATTTCTCTAGCTTTAGTTGAATCGGATTCAATGAACATGGTTCTTTCTGAAGATCAAAAAGAATCACTATACCGCGTTGAGGTTTTTGATGCGTAGGTAAGAATGGTTCTTGCTCAGCCCATAACAGCCACGTAAAACTTGCAACAACAAAGTAGAGGACGTCTAACTTGTTTTTGCAGGGCATGTTGTGATGTGATATGGTCAAGACATGATGCTAAATTTTATTGTATGAGATGATCATGTTTTGTAACACAGTTATCGGCAACTGGCAGGAGCCATATGGTTGTCGCTTTATTGTATGAAATTCAATCAC